TGTTAGCTCGGACAATCTTCTTCAGGGAAAAAAAAAAAAATACCAGCAAGCCTTTTTTTGTTTGTTGTATTTTTTTCTAAAATTTATATGGAAGAATACGAGTTTATGAATAGGCTAGACACTCCTGAAAAACAAGATGTGTGTGTATTGGGGGAGACAGGATTTGCCTTAATTTATATCAAGACTTATGATAAAGCTACAGTTATTAAAGCAGTGTACTATTGGCATGGGGATGGATTGGCAAATTTAGCAGAATAGAGTTCAGAAACAGACCTACACATAATATGGAAACTTGATGTATGGCAGAACTGACTTTGCCTTGTAGATTATTGGAGAAAGGATAGACTTTTCAATAGATGATACTTAGACAATTGGTTCTAAATGGGAGGGAATAAAATTTGGTTTCTACTTGATACCATACACAATAATCTCTTCCATGGATTAAAGACTTAAATTTATTCATATTACAAGTATTTATTGAGCACCTCCTCTATGGTTCTTTATACCACATCTGTATATTTTAAAGATATCCTTTTTATCTACCCAATTTTAATAAAAGCACGTAAAAAAATGGCCGGAGGAGTAGGAATATAACCAGAATAATGTAAGGTATTGGTACCAGTCTTTACCACCCCAACACACGTGAAGTATACAAAACACTGCAGACTGTAATAGTGGTTCACGGTATCGGTGATTTTCATCTGGAAGGCATACATCTGAAATATCAGAATTTGGGGAAGTTGGTGGGATGTTGAATATAATTTAAAAAGCCCCTCCTCAAATTCTCTCTGATTATCTGGAAAAATCACTTGTGTAAAGTCACCAAAACCAAAGGAAAAGAAGGTTGCAAAAGAGATTTGGTTGTAAATGTTGTGTTATAGAATGATTTCGGAGAAAAGGAGGTCATGAGGTATGTGATCGAGGAAAGCCATCAGTGAGTTTAGTGAAATCATTAATCTTGGAGATAGCTATTTCCATTCATTGGGGATCGCCAGTGTGATTTGGAGTAAAAGAACATGGCCATTCCAGAGTTTTCTGGGGGAAAGGTAAAGAAGAAAAGGGAAAAGACTAGCAGAGAAGGAGGAGGTGGAGAGTTGCTGCCAAAGAGGATGGAGGTAGGTCCCAGAGGAACCAGGAGGGGTTGACATCAGTAGTTACAGGAACTTTTTAAAATAGGGTTAATTGTTTATTATCAATGAAGGGGAGAGATTATAACTAAATGCCAATGGGAGTGGAGGACGTTTGGGGCCTGCTGAGGTAAATATGTGATCAGTGTTTAATGAGATAAATCACTGTGGATTATGGAACATTAGGACATAGTTGAAGAAAGCATGAGCTTATTGGGAACTCAGTTGTTTTCTTTTTATTAACTTTTCGAGCATTTCTCAGCAACTTAGTGGTAGATGTGAATGGTAGTGCTGAACCAGCATAGAGGATAGGGCTTACTGGTTTAACAAGAAGTGTAAGGAGTTCTAAAGTTCTACAGAAGACGTTGTTGAAATAATGACCCATCATCCAGGCCATTTAGGAAGTCAAATATTGCCAGATGGGGGATAATTTAGTTGGAGTATAGAAAGGAATTAAGGAATTAGAGTACACACTGAGGGCAAAGAACACATGTGAATGTGGGAAAGGAGGAAAGTATGACTTCTGTGGTCACAAAGGAAGAGCACTGAATATAAAAGCTTAGGTAACATTTTGAGGTTAACAGATAATCAGTGAGCTTCATGTGAGTTTTAAAGCAGTGCAGTTTTGAGATGAAAGGTTAAGGATGACAGGTGTATTCAAATCAGCAACAGTAACCTAGAAGTAGTCTTATGTTTAGATTAAACAGGATATTTATAAATAATTTCTAGCCTGAAGCCAGGAAAACTTCCAGCCTGGTGAAATGTGGGACATTTAATTGGTAATGAGAGAGAGGATGGTTTCAGCAGAGTGTTATACAGGGACAGGGATTTTCTGGGCACATGCTGATGCTTGGATCATATTTAGATGTAATAGAAGAGTTTTGATAGGTATGTCTGTGATGAAAAGGTGGGTTGGCTTAATTGGGATGTAGAAAAACAGGGAATATCTAGGTATACTCGAAGAGCTTCAAGTACGGGATAAATAACTTAATGCTTGACCTGTACTGGGCATTTTTAAATACAATATTTTGTTTAGCCTATTAATTAGACTATATAATATTCCTGAGATTGTAGTTTAGTTCTCAAAGGCCAGGAAAGATTTACTACTGAGAATTCTTCATATGTATGAAGGTCATATACTGTGAATTTAGTTATTTAACTTAATGTCTTCCTATTTTTTGTCCTATCATTATGCTGTAGTCTTGGTAAACTCGGGTAATGCCAATTCCTAGCTATGTAATCTTGGAAGTTCTTTTAACTTCTCTGACCCTTGAGTTCCTCATCTGAAAAATGAGAAGAATAATAACTACTTCTTAGGATGGTTTTAAGGGTTAACTATAAACTACCCAGCACAGTGCCAGGCATGTGGCAGGTGCTCAATAGATGTTCATTTCTTTTCTGTCAGTGGTGTTAATGCAACCTAAAGACGTTGTTAAATGGGACTGCTGTTGTGGGGAAATCGATTCTAAGTAAACTTGACTATAGTGTTTTCTGTCTCTATAAAGTAAACAGCATAGTTGATATATATATTTTTTTTTTTTTGAGGAAGATTGGCCCTGAGCTAACGTCTGTTGCCAATCCTCCTCTTTTTCTTTTTTTCCTCCCCAAAGCCCCAGTACATAGTTGTATATCCTAGTTGTAGGTCCTTCTAGTTCTTCTATGTGAGACACCGCCTCAGCAGGGCTTGATGAGTGGTGAGTAGGTCCATGCCCAGGATCCGAACCAGTGAACTGTGGGCCGCTGAAGCGTAACGCATGCACTTAACCGCTCTGCCACTGGGGCAGCCCCGATAATTTTTATTTAGGAAATCCCAGGTATAAATAAAGATTGTTATTATTTAAAGCAGGAGGCCATTGTGGCCTGAAATTTTAAGGGCAACTAGTTAATGGAGAGTAAAGCAGGATTTCTCAACTCCAAACTGTTTATTTTGGGCCAGATAATTTGGGAGTGGGGACGGTAGGGGGCAGGCTGTCCTGTGCCTTCTAGAACATTTAGCAGCGTCCCTGTCTCTGCTGACGAGATACCAGTAGCAGCCTCCCCACCACCCAAGTTGTGACAACCAAAAGTATTTGCAGACATTGCCACATGTCCCCTGGGAAGCAAAATCACCCCTGGTTGAGAACCACTGTTTCAGAGCATGGCCTAAAAAGAACACATGTGGGATGGCTTCACATTTAGAGAAGCATAATGAAAAAGAAGAGTAAATTTAATGTTATTATAGATACTAAAATAGGATACCTTTCATAGCTGACACATATTAAAGTCAGTGAAAGAGAAGATGTTTACAAGAAAGGGATAAAAGAAACTAGAAAAGGCTACTTTATCCAATGATTGGGTAATTTTACGGGGGGTAACTAGGAAAAATGATGTGGTTCATAGCACTTTTAAAAAACTGCTATATTACTGGGATATGATCAACACACATTTATCCTAATCCTCTAACCAATCTATAACTATAATGCTGTGTGATGTAAATTTTGTTTCAGAGCAGCGATACCCCTGGCACACAGCAAGATCTTATATAATCAAAAGTATTTTAGGAAAATGTAACAACAAAAATTTAGGTAAATATGATTTACCAGAACACTGTCATTTCTCAAAATGTTCACTTAATTGAAATTTGGATATGTTACCTATAGATTTTTAAAGACTGTTTAGTGGTCACAAACTCCCATCTTATAATTGAGGAAACCAAGGTAATCTGTTTAGTGGTTAGAGTATGGGCTCTAGAGTTGGGCTGCCTGGATTCGTATGTTGCCTCTTCCATTTGCTAACTTTTAACCTAAGGCAAATTACTTAATCTGAGCTGAGCTTCAGTTTCTTTTTCTGTAATGGGGAAGAATTGTATCTACCTCACAGGATCACTTTGAGGATTCAATGAGTTGATTCATTTACAGGATTTTGGCATAATATTTGGCATACTCGGTGAATGTTTATCATTATTATCATTATTTTTTTTTTCTTTTGTGAGGAAGATCAGCCCTGAGCTAACATCCGTGCCAATCCTCCTCTTTTTTGCTGAGGAAGACTGGCCCTGAGCTAACATCCATGCTGATCTTCCTCCACTTTATGTGGGACGCCACCACAGCATGGCCTGACAAGTGGTGCTTTAGTGCGCGCCCAGGATCTGAACTCGGGCCGCCAGCAGCAGAGCGCGTGCGCTTAACCACTACGCCACGGGGCCAGCCCCATTATTATCATTATTTTTATTTTAATCAAAAGCTTTGTTGCATTGCTGGAGCTCATAGGTTTAAGGATAGTTTTGCCCTGCTCTAAAAGTATATGCAAGTATACTTTTAATTCAGAATTATTTTTGTTATCTCTGGTTGTCTAGCCCCAGGAATTGACTTTAAATAAAAAGGACAGCATCTCAGAACAATTTGAAATTAGATAGATATGGACACTCGTTGTAGATATCTGGGTAATTTGAAGGAAGTTAGGCACCTGTTTTCAGATACTTTGTTAATTTAAGGAAGGAAACTCCAGTTGTCCATTTCTTGATATCCTTAACTCCTCAGTCTTTCATCTTGAAGTTTCACCTGCACCTGTCATGATGATCCTACTAGGAAAGAGGACTCAGGTTGGACCCTAGAGTCTCACTGGAGCAATTCGAGGCCCTATATATATCTCTACAATCATGTACCCTATTTTCTCATTTCCCAAGAGCTGATTGCCCTGGTTTCTGTGGAGTAGACCCTCAAATCTTTTCTTTACCTAAGAAAGTCTTACAATTGGGAAGGGTGAGATCAAGGAGCCTAGAATATCCCTGGATAATTCTGTATGTCCGTTCCTCTTTAGACTTCACAGATACCTGTTTTGAAGGCCTAGTATCTAAATATCAAACTAAAAGAGGTTGCTTTTTTTTCTTTCTAGGCAGAAAAATTGATGAAGCAAATTGGTGTGAAAAATGTGAAACTTTCAGAATATGAAATGAGTATTGCTGCTCATCTAGTAGATCCTCTTAACATGCATGTATGTATCTTTAATCTTAAGATTTTTTTAATCTAGCATTTTGTGTCAAGAGTCCTGAAGACCGCGAGCAGGTGTGATCATTCTCTAGGAACAGTCACAGGATTCAGCATAGTCGTACTCACAAATATGATTTATTACAGCAAAAGGATACAAGGCAAAATCAGCAGAGGAGGAGGGACATGAGATGACGTCTGGAGGAAATCACATACAAGCTTCCTAGAGTCTTCTAGCAAAGTCACACAGGATGCACTTAATTCCTCCAGCAATGAGTTATGGGAACATGTGTAAAATGCTGTCCATCAGGGAAACTTGTTAGAGACTTAATGCCCAGGGTTTTAATTGGGACTGGTCCTGTAGACTCTGTCTTCCTAACATCTACCAAAATTCTAGACTCCCAGGAGGAAAACAGGTATCCATCATAAACCATATTGTTTGCACAGTTTAGGCACAGTGAGCTGTTTTTATAAGGGACTGGTGAGAACTCTCCCAAAATTGAAGTTCCCATACTCCAGCCAAGGGCCAGCCTTGTAAGCAGGTCTTTCTAAGGATAATATAGTCTCAGGCCTGCTATGTTTGCTTTTTCTGTGCACATTTGTTTAGTTAATCTTATACTTTTAGATATTTACCTTTGTGGCATATAAAATGTACTCTTTTAAGTCATGTGGATATTTGACTTGGAGTTTAAATCTAGATTTTTATATTAAGGTATGGTAAACACCACCAGATTCTGAATCCCAGTTTTTCCATTCATGCAAGTTATTTTCTCTGAGTCTAATTCCCTCCTGTATAATCCAGGGACAATGTAATACCTGCTGTACTTACTTCAAAGGATTATTTTGAGGATCAGAGAAATGTAATTTATAAACTCTAAAATCCTATATGAATATTTTGTAACAACAGGTATAAATAAGTGAAGAGAGTGAAATATGATATCCATATCTCCACATCTAGAAAATAAAAATCTGCAATGTCTAACATCTGTGTACACAGAGACATACATGCCTCCCAGAATTAATCCTCCATTTGAATTTGATTTATAAATTTACAATGGTGCTTTCTTGAGGCCCTACCTATATTCATGCCTGAGTAAGCCTGTACTAACACTCAGTTTTTTGTCATAGCTACAGTGAAAGTAGGTGATGATTTTTTTCAGATTTGGCTGTGATTTTTCACTTTTTTTTTTTTTAAGTGGTAAAGAAAGTAAATCTGTTGTAACTATTACTTCTGACTGGCCCCACCTCCAGCCATTTTACTCTACCAGATTAGAGCTAGATTGTTGAGGATTTTTTTTAGATCTTTTTCAGTTAGTTTATTTCCAAAAAAAATTTTTTTAACTTGAGTCACAAGGCTTTAAAATACACAAGCTGTGTGTATTTTGAAAGCATGTAGTATCTCCTATTTACTGTTTGTTAAGACATAAGTTTTGGCACAGTTTTACTTTTGATTAATAAAATTCAGAAGTCTAGTTTGATGTGTATGGACGTTAATTCTAAAATTCGTTACTATTTTATTTGACAGCATCGTATATGAATTAGGCACACTCCTGGTGAGTTCTTCCCCATCAGCCAGCGCTGAATTATCTGTGTAGCTGGTTCTCAGTATTCTTGGCTGAGTATTTCCCCCTCTTAAATGGAGTGACTTTAGCTTATTAAATCCTGCAGAATTTTGAGTGCTGGGCCTAGTACTTTTTTTTTTTTAATAGTAGGTTGTTGACTATTAAATTCCTTTTTGCAGTTTCATAACAGTTTAATAATTTCCTTATTGCTATGAAAAGTCTTTACTCACGTTATTATATCATTTTAATCTTTCATTATGTATAATTATCTGATTAAGGTTTGCCATTTGGGGGATTTTTTTACTTCAGTGAGTATACATTAGTTGTAAAATTTGTGTTGACCTTTCTTTTTCCAGGTTACTTGGAGTGATATAGCAGGTTTAGATGATGTCATTACAGATCTGAAAGACACAGTCATCTTACCTATCAAAAAAAAGCATTTGTTTGAAAATTCCAGGCTTTTGCAGCCTCCAAAAGGTATGGTAAAAGTTTATATTTGCTAACGCATTAAAAATCTAGAAAACATTGAAACTTTCTGCCATTATAGAATTTGATGTTTTTGAAACTTGATTTTCAAGAGAATGCTGAGATCCAGTGAACTGTTTTATAAATAATAGTTTTAAAATAATTGCTCATTCTTTAGCTTCTCAAATTTAGATAAATTTTTTTCCCTGTAGTTACATGTCAAAATAATCCTTTTATTTCAAACTCGTTTTTATTACTTCCAACTAAATGAAATTTGGGAAATCAAGGTTAAAAGAAAAATCCAAAGTAACAATATGGGGTTTTTGTTTTCAAGATAAGACTTCTTTTTGTTGTTTGACAATTCTAGTCATTTTTTTTCCTCTTAGTAATCTTAACTATTTTTAGATTGCAGTGATTTTTTTGCAGGAAATATTGAACTACAAATGAACTAGAAATTAAATACTACTTATTTTTAAGGGAAACTTCCTATTCCTGGATTGTAATCACTTTGAAAGCCTTAGAACACAAGAATTGAGAGTGCTTATGACTGCATCCTTAAATATAATCCTTTTATTCTTGTTCATTCAAATATTAATTATATTTAAGGCTTGTTAAAGGTGATTCAGATGGAGCTTACATGATAATTGACAAATAAATACAGGTGTTACCGTGGCTTTCAGATACAAATGCTGTAGGGTAGCTTATTTATTTCCATCTGGTGGAAATAAATTTTTAGATTTTTGGAAGTATCAGAATAGTTCTATATATAAGTTGTGGTTGCTTATAATCTTACTAGTTTTGCAGCAGTATCATCAGTGCATTAATTCATATTTCAAAGGTAATTGAAGCCAATACCTGTACATTTTTATAAAGTAGATGATTTTTGTTTCTGATAGAGGATGACAATTATTGCCAAAAATGACATGTTCTTTTTATTAATTAAAACAACAAAACTGTTTATTATGTATTTCTTTTTATTTTCTGAAACAACAAAGTGGGTTTTTCTTTCTAACAAAAAGCATTTAGTTTATTTTGATTTTTTTTCCCCCCCAAAGAAAATTGCAATTTATCTGAGCCCAGATCAAAAGAGCAAGGTGAAAGTTGGATTATTTAGTTAAGTTCTTTACTGTTCTCTTCCAGGTTATTTGTAGTCTGACCAAAAAAAAACTTTTGTGAATTTCATGACTGGGTTTCACAATGTTAGTGAATTTAGGAAAGTAAAATGTTTTTTATATACTTTTAGGGAAAGCTCATTTTCTCATCAGCAATGTCTTAGTCCAGGTAATTGGGTGACCCCATCAGTTGGACTTGGTTTAAAGCCCTGATTAGCATAGCAGATACAGAATTATGAGAGGATACCTGTTATGTCTAAATCTGCTTATTTGAAAGCATTATCCAAAACTGGAGGTGGTTCCTATGTGTATTTTAAATTTAAGTTACATGAGTATCTCCTGATTATTACTATTTGAGCTTTTTCAGCTTTGCATTTTTGGAAAATTTTTTACCAAGAACAAAAGTTTGAAAAATCATTTTGACCTTCAACATTAATTGGATATTAGTGTATAGAAGCAGAGTATAAAATCAGTTGCATAATAACATAATTGTTCCGTTTTTGGACTGGAAATAGGTTACCTGGGTTAGAGTCATTGCTTTACTTCAGTTTTATATTATCCCTGGACAGTTCATTGCTGTCTAAGCTGAAAGAGATTACTGCCTCAGAGATGACAAAAAGAAAATTTGAGAATGACCTGTTATGTACTATCCATGCAGCATGTGAGATCATACTTAACTAGTAAGATCACATAGAATATAAATTTGGAGCTATTATGCCGCTAATTGGTTATAAGAACATGCCATAAAATATTGATGGTTGTATAAAAAAAAGTAACCCTTTTTTCCCCAAACATTTAAAATAGTTAAAAATTCCATTTGAATACTATATGGCTCCCTCTATAAACTCTGAATTCGGTAATCATTTTGGCACATAAGTTTTATGTGAATTTCGTCATATTCCATGTTTTGGTGCATTCTTAAAAATGTAGATAACCTAAGAAAAATATATTTTGAAAAATTGATTTTCTCAGGCCATGAAGGCCTACATTTCCCCCCTCTTGAGTGCTTTATATTTAAATAGATTTAATTTTTACAGATATTTTTCCATCATTTGGACAAAATTTTTATTAAAGCTTGAAAGTCAATAAACTAGTCTAAAAAAGAAAGAAAGAAAAATTGGTCATTAATAAGGTAATATATTTGTCACTAATGAGGATTATCTCTAATTTGGATCTGTTTGTCCTGATACCTTTATCTTAAATCTTTTATGTGCCTGCAGTACTTATGAAGTAATGCCCCTATCAAAAACATTCATCTTAAAAAGGGCTTTGAATTTTTAAGCCTTTACAAAGCACAAGCGAAATACCGTTTTTATTTTGTTGAAAATGGTTATAAAAGTATCAGACTAAGCTCAAAAAACTAGTTAAAAGATTGCAAAACTAATCATTAAAGCCAAATGCCCCACATTCATTTGCAGAACCACTCATTCACCACCCTTCATAAGTATTAACACTGTGGAGTTCACTTCAACAAAGGATATCGAAAAGGTGCCGCTTTCAAATAACATTGCTAGACCCATGATAACACGTCAAATGAGACAACATGGATCTTAGTGAAACTTAACATGGGGAGAAATGGGGATAAAACAGTTGAATGAATAATTATAAAGCTGACACTAATGGAACTACCACCTGGGTCAAGAAATGAACTGTGACTGCTCTTCATATGCATGTTATCACAGCTCTGTCCTCCAGAACATTGTGAAATCCAAAGGCTTTCATTGCATGTTGAATCTTTAGACATTAGTAAATAACTGCTCAATTAATAACACTAATTATGATCCCTGATAAGTAATATTGGAAAAACTTAATTCTGGTAAGAAGTACCAAACTAAACTATTAGGAATAAAATATTCAAAGTAATAAATGAATACTTTGAAACAAACATGACATTGTAAAATTACTGCATAAGTTTATGAAGTGATGATATAACTGCAAAGCCAACAAAATATGAAGACTTTTACATCAGTAGTTCTAAAAATCCTGAGATTCAAGTCATTTGTATATAAAAGTTTGCTAGTAGATCTGCATTCCATGTTAAATTATATGCTCAGAGTGATAAATGTAATAATTAATTCTAAGCTTCTGCAGTCATCCCATATGTTTTCAGCTTTATTTGAATTAAATGCCATTAAACTACTGTTTTATATTGTTCACATGAGCAATCCAAAAGAAAAGTGTCAGTAGAAGGTTTAAATTATAACTGACTTAACTAAATTTTTAGCACTTACATGAACTTAATTAAAAATTGCAAAGACTGCCTGAAAATATTGACATTTACTGGCAAAGCTTATGGATTTAAATTTTAAAATCAGCTTTAGAAAAGTTTAGTTTAAAATGGTTAAACTTGGGTTAGTTTTGAATCTTAAGAATAATTAAGACCGCTAGAAAAATCTATGTGCTTAAGGAAAAGTTTGAACATTATTTTGAAGTGCTTGATGTGAAAAAAATTTATTAGGTTTATGGAATCAAGCTCAAGGTTCTCACTTTTAAAAAAAATGAAAATTTTTGTGAGGGAAATTTTATATAAAATATTTACAGTATGTACTGCATAATGATGTTTTGGTCAGTGATGGACTGCATATATGGCAGTGGTCCCATAAGATTAGTATATATAGCCTAGGTGTGTAGTAGGCTATATCATCTAGGTTTGTGTAAATATATTCTGTGATGTTCACACAATGACAAAATTGCCTGACAAAATTGCCTAACAACACATTTCTCAGAATGTATCCCGTCATTAAGCAACGCATGGGTGTATTTTTCTTCCCTCATATTTTGTATTTTATTTATATTACATAATAAGAATATTTTGAATACCTCCAAATCCTGTCTGTTTTACCCAGTATGCTGCCTATAGATATTGTCATTCTTTAAGTGCTATTAACATGAGAAAAGTTGAGAAGCTCTGAATTAAGAAAATATTTAAAGAAATCTACAGATTACAATTTTTGTCAGGCCTATCTGTAGATGATTTATAGACAGGGCCATAACTTTAGTATTATATTAACTTAGAAAAAGATACCTCATTTTAGTTGAAAAACAGTTGGTGGTGATTCCCATAATGCTTAAGACTCCAACTTGTTTAGATCCCTTATATATTGATTACCTTAAAACTTAAGTCTCTGAGTGACAGCAAAACAGTGTTTGCTAGATTGTTTTGAAGTTGTCAGTTTTCTCTGTGCTATTGTCAGTGTACTATAGTGCTCCATTGGCTTGTGACGGTGGAGGGTGTTAGATGATTTTGTCAACCATTGACTGAGTAGTATGAGTTTGGATGTCAAGATGATTGTCTTTAGTATCCTAAACTGGACCTTTTGATGAAGGGAGGAGGCACAAGGGTGCTATAATCCCAAATACATATCATCACTGACACTGAACTTAGAATATGGTGCCTTCCTTTTCTGCTATAAAAAACGATTAATAAAAACAAAAGTGAATATTGGGAAAAATTTTAGTGTGGGCAGAATTATGATGTTGATTATCACGTAAACTGAAGCAAATATCTCATTCTCTTAAAGGAAATAATAAAATAACATGTTAATTTGCAGGTGTTCTTCTCTATGGGCCTCCAGGCTGTGGTAAAACGTTGATTGCCAAGGCCACAGCTAAAGAAGCAGGCTGTCGATTTATTAACCTTCAGCCTTCGACACTGACAGATAAGTGGTATGGAGAATCTCAGAAATTGGCTGCTGCTGTTTTCTCCCTTGCCATAAAGCTACAGCCTTCCATCATATTTATAGATGAAATAGGTATGCTATGTTTTCTATGTGAGCATTTTAAAACACCATTTTTAAGCATGGTATTTAGACGACCAGATTTCGTTTTTAACATTTATTAGGCCAAATTAATAAAACAAAAGAGATAACCAGCATCTTAATATGCTGTGTATAATTTTCATGTTGTATGATGAACCATAGTCTATTCATTCCCCTACTTGATAGTTTTTCTCTCTTTTCCCTATTTCATACAGTATGCAGTGGATTTCCATGTACATGTTTCCTCATGCACATATATTTGTCCAGGGTAGATACCTAGAAGTTGAACCATTGGGTTGTGTGATGTCTCCATCTTCAACCTCACTGGGATTACCAGTTCTTCAAAATGGTTATACCTGTTTTCACTCTCACCAGTGTATAGTGTGTTTCCCTACATACTCCCTAAAATTTATTTTTTGAGACATTACAGTTAATTTTTGCCAATTTAAAGAGCATGAATTATCTCACCATTGTTTTACTTTGTGTTTCCCTGCTTACTAGTAAATTTGGGCATCTTTTAACGTATTGATTAGTCATCTGGGTTTCCTTACTTGTAAATCACCAGTTTTTCTTTGAAGTTATTTGCATTTTTCATGGTAATTCTTTGTTGATATTTATTGTGATTGCAAATATTTTCTAGACTGGCTTGTCTTTTCGCTTTATGATAGTTTCTTTTACAGAGACTTAAATTTAAATGTGTATAGTTTGGGCCGGCCCCGTGGCTTAGCGGTTAAGTGCACACACTCCGATGCTGGCGGCCGGGGTTCGGATCCCGGGTTGGGATCCCAGGCGCACACCAATGCACCGCTTCTCAGGCCATGCTGAAGCCGTGTCCTGCATATAGCAGCTAGAAGGATGTGCAACTATGACATACAACTATCTACTGGGGCTTTGGGGGAAAAATAAATTAAAAAAAAATGTTTTAAATGTGTATAGTTACATTTATCAGTCTTTTTCCTTTATGATTTATACTTTTTGTGTCCGGTTTACTTGACTACCCCCATAAATATTCTCATTATTCTTTAAATATATAGCTTTGCCATATGGACAGCCAGTTTACAAAATAGATCATCTTTCTCTGTATGTCATGACTTTTTATATTAGTGGACTTTTTCTATATTTTATGGATCATCAATATTTTTTTTCTGTTCCTGGTATAATAAGTTATATATATATAATAAAGCTATAGTAATTAAAACTATAGCTTTGAATTAATCATACTATTAAAATTATATGTAATATGAAAGGCTATATAGAAATAGATAGGTATAGATATATAGTACTTTGGTTACTTGTTGCCTTGTGTATCTTTCTCATCAATTTACTCCAACTATTTTGGATTTTGGTGTGCATTTTGCACAAAAGAGCATATATCTGGATTTTTAAAAATTTTAATCTAAGACTCTTTTAACCAGGAAGTATGGTTAGTTTGCCTTTGTTTTGATAGCTGATAGGTTTATTTCTACCACATTACTGTGTGCTTTTTATTTACCAATCTAGTGGACTTTTTTGCTTTTTTTATTTCCTTTTCCCTGCTACAGGTTTATAGGTTATATATTCTTTTCCTTTTAGTGAAACATGTAGCATACCTGCTTGTCTTGAAAGTATAGGCTAATCATTTCCGCCCTCCTCCCGAATAATACAGGGACCCGAGCACTCTTGAATACTAATCATTCCCCTTATCTCTTAACGTGTTGTTGTTAACATTTTCTCTTATTTCATACCCTCCGTGTTAGTTGTTATTTTTATACTGGCAGTGCTTTTTTAGAGACCCATGTTTGCCAGGGTTTTTGCTCACTATTGCTTCTTGGACCTGCCTCTTCTGGATTTAATTTCCTTGTTTCTGAAACATGTCAGAGTTCTTTCAGCAAAGATCATGGATACAGTGAATTCTGTCTTTGGATGAAAATGTGTTGATTCTATCTTCACTCTTAAATGATACAGAATTATTTTCCTTCAGCATTTTGAAGCTACAAGTCCATTGTCTTCCAATCTTTCTTGTTGCTTTTGAGAATTCTGCTTATAAGCTAATATTTCTTTGTAAGTAATCTATCTTTTCTCTCTAATTGCTGTTATATTTTTATCTTGTTCTCGGATTAGATTATGGTTTGTCTAGTTCTGTATTTATTTTTATTTATCCTGCTAGGACTTTCTGTGGTTTTTAATCTAAGGATTCATGGCTTTCGTTAATTCTGGAAAATTTCTCAGCCACTATATATTTTTTAATGCTATATGGCTTTCATTTTATTAAAAAAACATACATTCGTCAACTCTCTACTTAATTTTGAGTCATTTTCACAGTTTTATCATCTGGTTCTCTACCATGTTTCATCAGTTCTAATACATGTTGTTATTTTGTTTTTTTAACATTATAACATACCTGAAATTGGGATAGCATGTTATAACTTAATTGGCAGAGTTTTTTCTTCTTTTAGTATTATAATTTTAATTGACAGCATTTTAAATTTTTTGTTGATATGTAATGGTGCAACTCAAAAATCAATCTGTAAGTTATAAAAAGCAATTCTTTGCTTGTCTGTATTTAATCTCACAACCAACCATTGGGTTTGTATTCTGTTGAGTTTATTTGAACTTTAGAAGTTTTATTTGTTCTTTTTCAAATTTATCTTTTTTTACTGTAGCTTGCTCTTTTGTTAGAATTTCAGTCCCTTTTATATCTTCAAAAGTTTAAACATACTATTTTTATATAGTTTTTTGGACTGTTCTGTTGTCTGAAATTCTGCTTCTCTCTTATGTAATTAATTCTCTTTCATAGTAATTTGTTTCCTTATGTCACTTCTAACATTAGATGGCTTCCAGTTTGTTTTTATATGAGAAATCTGTGTTGCCTAAGAAGATCCAGAGTAGTTTTTCCATCTTCAACTTAGAACCTCTGGGGTCTGATCACTCAGGACCAATTTCTATGATAATTTCTCAACTTGGATGTTCCTAGATTGAATGACAGTACAAATTTAGACTTTAAGCCTGAGAGAGAGCCCCTCTGGGCCTGGTTTTTTCTTTTTCAGGATGGACATATTTCCCCCCAGAGCCCAGGCCAAGACAGACAAGCTTCTTTAACTCCCTATAGTGGTGAGCAGAATTTGTTTCTTATCTGAACTTTCTGTGAGTGTACATCCTTTTGAGAATCTTGGCTTCAGCATGAATATTAACACAAAAGCAGAACCTTTTGATGCATACCTGTTTTGTACACAGACACACGCAAACAGCAGCATAATCATCTCAAGTTCTTACCACTCATATTTTCATCTCCCTTTTTTCCTGAATTTCTGGGATTTTTTTCCTTTCTGTCTTGCAATCTCAGATGTTGCTTTTTTTTTTAATTACTAGACTTTTTTTTTTGGAACAGTTTTGAGGTTACAGAAGAATTGAACGGAAAATACAGAATTCCCATATACTCCCCCATAAACAGTTTCCCCTATTATCATTATTTTGCATTAGTGTGATACGTTTGCTACAGTTATAAACCAGTATTGATACATTATTAATAACTAAAGTCCATGTTTATATTAAGGTTCATTCTTGGTGTTGTATAGTTCTGTGGGCTTTGACAAATGTATAATCTCATGTATCTACCATTACGGCATCATACAGAATAGTTTCACCATCCTAAAAATCTCCTGTGCTTCACCTATTCATCCCTCCCTCCCTCCTGAACTCCTGGCAGCCACTGATCTTTTTACTGTCTCTATAGTTTTGTCTTTTATAGAATGTCATATAGTTAGAATCATACAGTATGTAGCCTTTTCAGACTAGCTTCTGTCACTTAGCGATATGCATTTAAGGTTCTTCCATGCCTTTTTGTGGCTTGGTAGCTCATTTCTTTTTATTACTGAATAATATTCCATTGTATCTTTGTACCACAATATGTTTATCCATTCCTCTATTGAAGGACATATTGGTTGCTTCCAGTTTCAGGCAATTATGAAAGAGCTACTCACGACAGTGATATGCAGGATTTTGTGTGGACATAAGTTTTCAGCTCAGTTGGGTAAATATCTAGGAGCACAATTGCTGGATCATGTGATAAAACTATGTTTAGCTTTGCAAGAAACTACCAAAATGTCTTCCAAAGTGGCTATACCGTTTTGCAGTTCCACCAGAAATAAATGAGAGGTCCTATTGCTCTGCATTCTCTCCAGCACTTGGTATTATCAGTTTTTTGGATTTTTGCTGTTCCCTAATAACATGTTGAGCATTTTTCATATGCTTATTTGCCATCTGTATATCTTCTTTGGTGAGGTGTCTATTCAGATCTTTTGCCCATTTTTTAATTGGGTTGTTTTCTTGTTGAATTTTAAGAGTTGTTTGTATAGTTTGGATACAAGTTCCTTATCAGGTACGTGTTTTGTAAATATTTTTTCCCAGTCTGTGGCTTGTCTTTTATCTTAAGTGTCTTCCACAGGGCAGGATTTTTAATTTTAATAAAGTCCAACATCCATTTTTTCTATGATGGATTGTGCTTTTGGTGTTGTATGTAAAAAGTCATCACCAAACTTAAGGTCACCTAGATTTTCTCCCATATTATCTTCTAGAAGTTTATAGTTTCATGTTTTACATTTAGTTCTGTGATCCATTTCGAGTTAATTTTTGTGAAAGTTATAAGGTCTGTGTCTAGATCTATTTTTTTGCATATGCATGTCCAATTGTTCCAGCACTATTAATCAGATTTTGTAATTTATAAGAAATAAATATTTGATGCATTCAGTTGACCTGAGCTTGCTGTTGGGATCTGAAGTGGAGGGCGGGGTGGGGGGTAGTCTTGTAGGATGGAATCCTTACCCTGTTGGAATCTGATGCTATCTCTGTGTAGATAGTGTCAGAATTGAGTTGAATTCTCAGACACCCTGTTGACAGACTTCAAGTTGGAGTTTCAGTGCTGAAATGTGAAAGTTACTCAGAAATGCCAGTGATTTGAAGGGACATAAGACAACATTTCAAATAGGATTGATTGTATTACAAAATCTAGGATTTATTTTTACTGTCTTTTTTTCATTCTTAGGATGTACCACCTTTCAGTTTTTTCATTCTAGAAGAAAAATGTTTTCCTCCTTTTTAAAAGCATTTTATGTTCATTATAGATAATTTGAAAGACAGAAAATAATTCAAGAGAAAATTTAAATTGTCCTTAAGTCTATCACTGAGAGAGACTCAAAGTTAATAGCGTTTTCGTGTATTTCCTTAAAGGCTTTTTTACCATATATAACGTATATATGTGCATGCTAGCATGTGTGTTTTAGACTGTTTTCTATCCTACATTTTCGCACTTAATAGTGTTTTGACATTTTCCAGTGTCATTTTAATTTTTTACCAGGAAAAGTATGTGAGGGAAAAGGATGCAGCCCCATAATTAAGAATACATAGGATGCAAATAACCTGGAAAGTTGGAGCAAAGCATACAGACTTTCCTCCCAGACACTGCTTGATCCTTTTGCAGCCTTTCAGTACCTTATCCTTCATTTCTTTTATATATATTGGTATGAATGTATTTTTTTTTTTGGCATGAATGTATTTTTAGGAAAGAAAGGAAGATTTTGAATCGATTGTCTATGAATTTGCCCAATAATTTGCAAAAATTGTTACATCAGAATAATGTGTAAAAAGGCATAGTTGAACCCTTTTGCTTGTAATCTTTCGTAAAGTTGTCAGCTTTTGATTAATGATTTGAAATTATATAAAGAGTGAATAATTCATTGTTAATTCTAAGGTTAAGGATATTTCCTTTTAGACTCCTTTCTACGAAACCGTTCAAGTTCTGACCATGAAGCTACTGCTATGATGAAAGCTCAGTTTATGAGTCTCTGGGATGGGCTGGATACTGATCATAGCTGCCAGGTATTTAAAAGAAATCTTCCTTAAACTTGTGGTATTGGTGTTGGTGGTGGTAATAGAAAATTTGCTGGGCTACTTGTTAGACTTTTTTACAAAAGTTTTTTTCATAATTATACTTATCATTAAGTGATGGGGATTTGAAAGAATATGGTTTGTATACATTTTCACCCATTTTGAGAGCCTCATAATTAACAAAATGTAATAGATTGCCTAAGCACCTGAAACAAATGCAACAGAAGAGAGGAAAGAGAATAAAAGCCTCTCCTTGGAATTTTCAGAACCATTATGCCAAAGAAGAGGAAGTGACTAGTGGCCGTGGGTATTCTGTACATGTTTCTTTTGACTCTTACCAAAATCCTTATGGTCTTTACTCTCAGTTCTTATGTCACTTACCTTATTTTCATTTTATCGTTTTTGTTAGTTGCTGAAACTTACACATTTTCCCACTTCCTGTCACATGTACCTTCCTTTAGGATCCCAATTTTTTTTTTTTTTTGTAAGGATGATTAGCCCTGAGCTAACATCCGATGTCAATCCTTCTCTTTTTGCTGAGGAAGATTGGCCCTGGGCTAACATCCATTCCATGCCCATCTTCCTCTAGTTTATATGGGATGCTGCCACAGTATGGCTTGACAAGCTATGTGTAGGTCCACGCTTGGGATCTGAACCTGCGAACCCTGGGCTGCCGAAGCGGAGCATGTGAACCCAACCGCTACTCCACCAGGCCGACCCCTAGGATCCCAATTTTATACAAGACAGGCTTCTATCCTAGGCTTTGTCTCTTCCCCTGGCAAGGCTGTGAAACTAAAACTCAGGTCCCTTGGTATACACCCAAAGAGAAAGCCAGCTATATTGTTTAGTTTACCTCTTTGAGATCCTGTTTTCACTTAGTTCTTCACCTCTGAAGATTCTATATTTTCTTACCGGATCAATGATGTATTTTAAAAGAAATTTTTAAAAAATTTTGTCCAGCATGTTTGTTTTTCTGCCATATTGCTGGAAATGAAAGTTCTAGAACCATTTTTCTGTTTTTTATTTTTTTCATGAATCACCTATTTATATCTCATGGAAGAGTTTTGGAAAGTTAACAGTGTTCTTTTATTGTTTTAATTTTAGTAGGTATTTTCTATTTTGTTATCTGTTTTTGCCCTTTTTTAAGAACATAATATATTTGGAATTACATCTTTCATTACTTCTAAAAAATTCAACCATCATTTCTTCAAATATTGTTTCTTCTCCATTCTCCATGTGATCTCCTTATGGAATGCCAATTGGGTGTACCTTATTTATATATTCCATATGTTTTAACTTCTCTTTCATATTTTCTGTCTCTTTATGCTACATTCTGGGTAATTTCTTTGTCTCTTTCAGTTTGCTAATTCTAGGTTCAGTTGACTCTCTTCTGCTCTTTAACCCTTTCATTGAGCTTTTTGTTTCTGTTATTGTATTTTTCAATTCTATAAATTATTTTAGATTCTTTTTCAAGTCTGCTAGGTCACTTGTGATGGGCTTTTGCGCATCAACTCGTGTTTCCAATTGGATTAGAAAACCGAAGCCCTGGTGTCAACTAGCTGTGGGACCTTGGCCAAATTATATAATCACTCTATCTGTGTAGAGCAGGTAATATCTATAAAAAGGGAAGGATAGTATCCACCTCAGAATTGTAGGGTTTTAAAGAATTAATCTGAATAAAGTGCTTATAATAGTGCTTGGTATATATTTACTAAATAAGTATTTGCTCTATGATTTTTTTTTTTATTTCTCATTTATTCCTTTAAATATGTTAACATATTAATTTTATGGTCTTTATTCAATAATTCTAACATATGACTCCTGATAATCTGGTTCTGTCATTTGAGTTTATAGTGGCTATTTCCTTGTGTGTTTTATGACTTCATGGGAAAAATCATATTTGGTGTAGAACTTTGTGAATTTTTGGAATCTATGTTGAAGGCCTGTTGCCCTAAGGAGATTTTGTATTTATCTTCTGCCAGATTTTTTTCCTAACAGAAATAGGTAAATTCAGGTCCGAGATCCATGTTAGCTGGCCATGAAGAATGAAATCTCAGGAATTTCATGTGTGTTTATGTGTTTTTATGTCTATCCAAGAAACAAGGCTTGACTCTGTTGAATGGATTTTCTAATATTTCACCAGTTTTCTCAGGCTGTAGTACTTCATGAGTCCTGGTTTTATGTAGAGTGGTCTCTAATCAAGCTTTCTGGCCTGTATGGTGTCTAGTGTACACCCCACTCGCTAAGATATGTACATGTCTATATGGTATGTGGTCAACTTATACCCTTGCTTACCTCCTTTATGCATAAGCTTGACTCTCGGCTTCAGCTTAATTCCTTTACTTTTTTGCAGATTTGTTGATTAATTTATTTGAATTTTTTTAGACTTTATTATTTTTATATGTTTTGTAGCCAGAGGGTTTAAGGATCACCTACGTCCACCACTTTACTGTAAATTGAAAGTCTGAACCACATCATTCTCAAGAATAAAATTAAGCCATGTCCTTCTACATCACCTTTATGAAAGTATAATTTCATCAAGTTGCCTTTAGTGTTTGTTGGATGATTATCGAAAAAAGCGCAACATCGATCAATTTAGGTGACATTAATAGAAACGGTTTTTATTAATAATTGGTTCTGATTAATCTATTCAATGGGAGTAGGTTACAGGTTTCCAAAAACTAATTATCCTCCTAAGCAACAATATTTAAAGCACTTAGACAATTGAATAGTTAGCCCATGTAAGAGAAAATAGTTTAATATTATATTACATCCTGTCAGAGTATAATAGTCAACTGTTTAAAGCCAAAGAAATTGAGACAATTGGATAAAGTATACTCTAGAGCCACTTCATCTAGAGCCCCACACCATGGCTCTGATGCAGCACAATTTATTTATTTATTTATTATTTTTTTTTTTTTATGACGGTCCTTTCTTGGGAAGGACTGCTTTTGTTTTTTTTTGTTTGTTTGTTTTTTGGTTTTTTTTAAATTTTATTTATTTATTTTTTTCCCCCAAAGCCCCAGTAGATAGTTGTATGTCATAGCTGCACATCCTTCTAGTTTCTGTATGTGGGACACGGCCTCAGCATGGCCGGAGAAGCAGTGTGTCGGTGTGCGCCCGGGATCTGAACCCGGGCCGCCAGCAGCGGAGCGCTCGCACTTAACCATGGGGCTGGCCCCATGATGCAGCACAATTTAAAACTGAGTTTTCAGAACCGTAATTCCTGATTACATTAATAGTATTTACGATTTTCATTATGACAAGTTTTTATTTGAGGGAGCAAATAAATATGTTACTTTTTTATTAAACACCATTAACAATTTTCTTAACCTTTTTTTGTGCTGACGGGGTTAAAATTGATATTACTAATTTGAATAATAGTTTTAGCCATATTCTCCTTTCCTATGAACCAGTTAGCTTTTCTCTAAAATTGTCTGTTCTATGACTATGTATGAAGCCCAGTATCCCAGCTAGCTTTCCTGTAAGTATGATATGGCCCCAAAGGAAACAAAAATAGTTGAATAACCCAATTAAACCCATCACCACTGCTGGAAATCCAAGTTATCTGATGACATATTCCTCATCTTGAGATGAAGATATGAGACATAAAAACTAACAGTGTTTTTAAGCTATTCATTGACATAGTTCAAGTTCTGAGGCATAAAATTAGATCTGATTATTTAAAATGTGAAATGATAAAAAGTTTCCTCATATTTTGTTTTAAAAATTTTTTAAAGTTTTAACTGTTACCTAAAAGGTGCATTAATTTTGCTGCTTAAGTACTAAAAAATTACTGTTGCTTCCCATTTTGAATTTTAGCTCATTTGCACTAAATAGAATTAATATATGTGTGAAAGTTAATCTGTTTTTGCCTTTTAAAATAACTCCTTAAAATTTTCTTCTTTTGGGGACCGGCCCTGTGGCCTAGTGGTTAAGTTCAGCGTGCTCCGCTTCAGCGGCCCGGGTTTGCAGGTTCAGATCCCAGGCGCAAATCTACACCACTCATCAGCCATGCTGTGGTAGCAACTCACATACAAAATAGAGGAGATTGGCACAGATGTTAGCTCAGGGTGAACCTTCCTCACCAAAAAATAAAATTGCTGCTTTTTTTTTTTTTTTTTTTTTTTTGGTGAGGAATGTTCGCCCTGAGCTTAACATCCATTGCCAATCCTCCTCTTTTTGCTGAGGAAGACTGGCCCTGGGCTAACATCCAGGCCCATCTTCCTCTACTTTATGTGGGATGCCGCCACAGCATGCCTTGATAAGTGGTGTGTAGGTCCACGCTTGGGATCCGAACCCCCGAACCCCAGGCCGCCAAAGTGGAGCACGTGATCTTAACCACTACGCCGCCAGGCTAGCCCGAAAATTTACTTCTTTAAGTGAAACTACAAGTGATTTCAATCACTCTCACTTTTTCATTTTGAATATCTGTTATTATCCTATACGTATTTGTATTTGGATTCCTTGATCCTAATTTTTAGCATTCTAGCTTCCATACTTGGTTTTTTTGTTTTGTTTATTTTGTTTTAGGCTATTTGTTTACCTAGAATGTTTCTCAAAATACAGACCATTTTTCAGTTTTTTTCAGGTATTGCCTTAACCACAATGCCTTTTATGATTCTCTGCAACCTAATATGGTCAGGCTTCAGCAAACTTCATATCAACTTAGAACCTCTGTTTTAACACTTAATATACTCGATCTCAAAATGTGCTTACTTATACTCATCCTTTATCTTATGTGATTCGTTTGATCACTTTTAAGACTGTTTTACCTTTCATAGAAATTTTTCCTTTCTTACTAACTTTATAGAGTTATAGAAAGTCAAAAAAATAGGTAAGAGCATTTAATATTTTGATTTTAGGACCACTTCACCCAAATAAAAAATTGTGTTATACTGTGGAGCCAACATTTCTCAAATTTATATTTGTATTTATACTTTTTCCCTGTAGGTGGCAACCTCTCACAGTTAATTGAAAGTAATTTGGCTGCTGAATGTCTTTAAATATAAGAGTAGAAGTAGAATATAAGATTGAATGGATCTTTCAAAATGTTCTGGAGTCAGATTTTAGATTATTTCAGAAATCTAAGACCTCTTAGGCTGAAATAAAATAATATTAAAAAAGTAAAAGTTTCCATAGATTTCCAATACATTTCATTGTGGATAGCATTATTAACAGTAATGGTAACATTGAAGCCCTTCAGAAATTAACTTCTTTTGTATATCTTTGTCTTTATTCATGTTGATTTTTCATCTCTACATCCTTTATAAATAAGTGACATAGACCCAGAAGTTGGCAAGGTCACCAGCATTTTTTTTTCTTGTTCTTTTTCTTTTTTTTTTTTAATTCTACCCAGCAATTTGATGTTTGTTTTTATTCTGTTGCTCTTGTTTAGAGTTGGATTGCTTAAGGTTTTATTAGCATTAAGAAGATATCACCTACAGTGCTGATAGTCCCATGAGATGATGATGGGAAATCTAGAGGAAAAAGTACATGATGTAATATTACTATTACCAGAATCCTCAGACTTAAGGGAAATGATTCTCTCCTTAATATTATTATTAAAGGACTTGAAAAATACCCCCATATATACTCCCAAGCTGTAACATAAATGGCCGTGTAGCCATTTAAGCAACCATATTTTGCAAAATACAATAGTTTAAAAATTTTTACATAATTCTTCAGTAACTGAACAGTAAGTTATTTTAGTTACTAGAAGTCTAGTGAAATGCATCAGTCTTACCAGCTTTGCTATCATTTGATCTATTTAGGATTAACTTCAATTTGTATCTATAAATATTTGAATAATACTGGATTAAAATCAGATTTATTATAGAAGATTTAAATGCCATTAATTTTTTTATATCTTCTAAGCCCTAGTAATAACAACCTAAGAGGAGTATTATTGGTAGATTTAATACCTTGTATTTTCTTTGTGTATTTAGGTTATAGTGATGGGAGCTACTAATCGTCCTCAGGATCTGGACTCGGCTATAATGAGAAGAATGCCTACGAGATTTCATATCAACCAGCCTGTAGGTGTTTTTGATTGATATTATGAACAGTTAAATATTCACTTTTTTACAGGTCTTTACCTATGAGCTCAAGAAGAGAATGTTGTTTTTAATAGGACTCATTTATGACAGGCGAGGAAGGAATAGAGCAGGACACTCCATGATTGTTTTTGTCCTTTCTGCTCTCTTCCTCACTTTTTTTATTTCTTTTTTTTTTTTCCTAAGATCAATGTTATTTGCTTCTCTTCAAAGTATATAATTACCTTAAGTTTGCCTAGCCACTTTAGTGATTTTCTTTAGAATGTAGCAAGTCATCTATGGAAGACACATAAGAAAACCTAAATTATAGCTCTGGTTTAGCATAGGATGAAATTAGGGAGATTGAGGTTCTGTTCAAAAGGCCCAACAGGAAGAACAACTGGGATTTATTTGATTAATTATTGGCAGTTGTAATCGGTGTTTTCCTCAGACAGAATTAATAGTTAACCAGTAGCTAAGAGATTACACTTTAAGAATGCGAATGTGAGGGTGATGTTGAACAAGTTCTATTTTCTTTCTAGCATTCTTTTTTGTTACTTAAGAAGAATCCTCAAGTAGATGATTATAACCTATTGATACTCTATAATTTTTGCACAAAACCCTCAAATCTTGAATTTTGTCTGCCTTTAGATGGGAGAAGAAAGAAAAAGAAAACCAGGTTGGTAATAGAAGATATGCTCCGTACAATCAGCATGTTACATGTATAGCTATGTAGAGGAACTTTTAGTGTCATGCCTTTTTTTGGTTTTTGGGTTTCGTTTTGTTTTGTTTTGTGAGAAAGATTAGCCCTGAGCTAACATCTGTTGCCGTTCCTCCTCTTTTTGCTGAGGAAGATTGGCCCTGGGTTAACATCTGTGCCCATCGTCCTTTACTTTGTATGTGAGATGCCTGCCCCAGCATGGCTTGATGAGCAGTGAGTAGGTCCATATCCAGGATCTGGGCTGCCAAAGCGCAGCACGTGAACTTAACCACTATACCACCAGGCCAGCCCATGTCATGCCTTTTTAATTTTGAAATAAAAATATGGTAATATCATTTACCATCTCTGACTAAAAATCATTTGTCCCATTTTATATTCTGCAACTTATCAGATCACTTTGTTGCAGTAAACATGGTTTTCTAAAATTGATGGTTGTGGCCTCTATAAAATTACTGTGATCAGCTGTTTGCTGCAGCTACAACCTCCACTTCCTCTGGGGATATGCATATACTTAACCATTCTATTAGAAAATTTACCTGGTAAATCGATGGAGAGATTTTTTAACTTGATGAGTAAGAGTCTATAAAATTTATTTAGCATGACTAATATTTATTGAGCATTAGTATGTGTCAGACACATGCTAGGCTCTGGTGAATGGAGCATGGCCCCTGTCCTCAAAGAATTGTGTTGCAGGGGGCCAAATACATAAATAAATAATGTAAAATGTACTTTACAAAGGTATATTTAAAGAATTGTGAGAAGCTGAGGTGATGATGAAAACTAATAATTCTGTCTGAGGAGTTAGTGAAATTTATAAAATCCAGCTGGGCCTTGAAGGGTGGTAGGAATTTGATAGATAAGACAAGGAAAGGCTTTCCTGCCAGAATGAACAAAGATGTGGAAGCTCACTTTTAATGGTGACTTCTGGGGGTAGTTCAGTTAGGGCATCTGGGAAATAGATGGAGATGAGGTGCAAAAGGTAGACTGCTGTCGGGTTTAGATGGACTTTGTATGCTTTGCTCAAGGATTTCAATTTCGTTAGCAAGATATCGGAACATTTGTTTTAAAAATTAGTTTACCTCAGTGGTTCTGAAGGCGGAGATTACCTTGATAGAATCTCTGCCTGTAGTCCAATAGAAAACAAAGATTTTCGATGTATGGTAGAATAGAACACAGAATACAACAGCATGGAAAGTAGCCTTTACTCAAATTGTAAGTTTAATATACTAATTGTGTGAGTTATCAAAATGGGTTGTAACAGATTTTATCAGATTTGTTATAAATTGTATACTGTTAATATAGAAACTGGGATTTTATTATCCCCTTTTCATTCTGTTGAGCAAATACGCACACGCACACTCTATGGGGTATTTTTTTTCTTGTTGCCTAACTATGACGTCAAAGTGTATGATTAACCTTACCTTAAAACTCCTCTCCAAGTTAGATGTTTATTAACAAAAAGTAGTTATTGGTGATTACATAACATACCAAATTAACCTTCATACTTAACACACTTGAATTACAGAAACAGCAGGGTTTGGTTTTGTTTTTCAGGTCATTTGATTTGATACTCATTGTAACCAGTTCTGTTTTTTCAGTGGTTGTGGGCAAAAAGATGCATTCAGCCATAATAATTTTAAAAAGCATTTATATTTACTGTATATTTAAGCTATTCTATAATAGCTTCTATTCTCTGGTATAATAATATGAAGCATCCCTGGGGGAAAAAGCATGCAAACATGTAGGCAAATATACTATCAGCACTAAATAAAAGTTCACTAATGTAAATTAGTGAACATAGAAGTTGTATTTTAAATGGAGGACCTGAAGGGGTATTGTTGCCATCTTTTCCACTTACTGGTAAAATTTTATGGCAGTAGTGAGTTTTTAGAAGTTTCCTAAATGAAGAAAAGATTTGCAGAGCTGTAGAGGAAAGACCTTGGTAGTCATAGGAATTCACTTACTTTCTCAAGAAACATTTAAGGGCATGTTATTTCCCAGACATTCTGCTAGGCACTGGGGATTCAGAAGAAGAAGATAGTTCACTGGGACAACCACAAATGATTACTCTAGAGTCTAGAATCTACTTGCTTTAGCCAGTAGTTTCCATGACCTCTGTTAGAGTTTCTTTCATTTCCTGTAGGTATTGTCAGGTAGTTTACAAGGGAAGGAAGAAATATTAGGAAAACTAGTTGATCCTTGGTTTTTAAAAAATACTAACTGGAAATTATCCTCATTTTAGGCTCTGAAACAAAGAGAAGCAATCCTGAAACTCATCTTGAAAAATGAAAATGTAAGTAGAAAATTACAGTTTTTCCCATCCTATAAATATGATGTTTATGTTCATAAATTCATTTTAGAGAGAAACGAAAAAGGAACCTGAGAATAATGTAGCTTTGAATTTGATGTGAATTACTGTAAAATTCTTGGCTGCTCATGTTAACTCAATAACTGTGGTATATTTGAACTAATTAAAGATAATCTGCTTTGTAAAAAGCCATGTGTTTTTATATCTTCAGAGTAAAAGCTGCTTTAATATTTTTCAGACTGTTTTCCAGTTATGTAAGATATGCTTATTTTTGTACAGAAGTATGGGGAATTTTTTTTTTATTTAATTGCACTACTTTTTGAAGTTGGAATTTAGATTTTAAAAAGTATGATAATCAGAGGCGGCCCGGTTACATGGTTGTTGGGTTCACGTGCTCCGCTTCGGTGGCCTGGAGTTCACGGGTTCCATCCTGGGCATGGACCTACACACTGCTCATCAAGCCATGCTGTGGCGGCATCCCATGTACAAAATAGAGGAAGATTGGCACAGATGTTAGCTCAGGGACAATCTTCCTCATCCCCCCAAAAAAAGTATGATAATCAAAATCTTCAAGAGCTTTTGTGTTTAAGGTTTTTTTAAATATGTAATATAGTCAGATGTTTCAAAAATTAAAATATATATATTAAATGGTATACAAAAAGTTTCACTCCTTCCCCTATGTTTCTTCTGTGTCCTTCCAGATGGCATTATGCATATACAAGCAAATTAAAATATATTGTTACTCCTCTCCCCTTTTCTACATAAACCATATTAATAAGCTGTGTACACTGTTCTGTGCATTGCTTTTTTCACCTGTCTTGGAGATCTTTCCATGTTAGCATATAGTTTCCTTATTCTGTTCTCTTTTTTTTTTTTCTTTACAGTGCATAAGATTCCATTGTATGGATATACCCTAATTTGTTTAATCAGTGCCATACTGAGGAACATCTGGGTTGATTCTGGTCTTGCACGATTATAAAATGCTGCATTGAATAACCTTGCACATATGTCATTTCACACTTGTGAAGGAATATTAGTAGGGTGAATTTTCCAGAAGAGGGATTGCTAGATATTTATAATTTTGGTAGCTACCGCAAAATTGTGTCAGTTTACTCTTATACCAGCAATGTTAGTGTGCCTCTTTCCCTATAGCCTTGCCAATAGAATGTTATGGTACTTTGTACCAACATGATAGGTAGAAAATGGTAACTCACTGTAGTTTTAATTTGCATTCTTTAGGTATGAAGTGATCATTATATGTTTAAGAGCCACTTGAATTTTCTTCTGTGAAATAACTATTCATAATCTTTGCCCATTTTCCACTGCAATCTTCTTTTTCTTATAGATTTGTAGAAGCTCTAACGTATTAGGGAGATTTGCCCTTTGTCTATATGATTTGAAAATATTTTTCCCAGTTTGGCTTTTTTTTTTTTAAGGAAGATTGACCCTGTGCTAACATCTGTTGCCAATCTTCTTCTTTTTTTCTTTTTTTCTTCCCAAAGCCCCAGTACATAGTTGTGTATCATAGTTGTACCTTTGTAGCTCTCCCATGTGGGACACCACCTCAGCATGGCTTGATGAGTGGTGAGTAGGTCCGCGCCCAGGATCCGAACTGACGAACCCCAGGCCACTAAAGCAGAATGCGCAATCTTAACCACTATGCCACTGGGCCGGCCCCCCAGTTTGGCTTTTGATATTACAAGGGTGTTTTTTTTCCTTTATGGCTTCTGGGTTTTGAATCCAGATTTAAAAAGGCTTTTCCACTCCCACATTTATAAAGAAATTTTCAGTTCTTCTTTTTTCCCCAAAAACTCTATGACCAAGTATATTTTAATAGTGTAGTATTCCTTATTATCCTAAACTTCATACCTAAACTCACTATTTGAACTTGCTGTCCAAACTGAGAAACCAAATGGATTCCCATGGTGAGGGATACTTGTATTTCAGTGGTTTTCCTCCTTCTCTGCATCACCATCAACCCCATGGCTAATTCTGCTCCATCCATACTCTGTCTGTTTCCCCACCTCCTGTGTTTTCCCATCATATCTCATCTGTAAATATTTTAGTTTTATCTCTAAAAGACAGAATTCTTTGATTTTTTAACCTAACCTCATTACTATTATTATACCTAACAAAAAATTGGCCATATTTCATTATTATCATTGAATATCTAGTCTGTTCAAATTTCCAATTGTCTCCTAAATGTTGGAGGGGTTTTTTGTTTTGTTTTATTTATTTTTTTTTTTTTCAGATTTTATTTATTTATTTATTTTTTGTGTGTGTGAGGAAGGTCAGCCCTGAGCTAACATCTGATGCCAGTCTTCCTCTTTTTGCTGAGGAAGATTGGCCCTGTAACATCCCTGCCCATTTTCCTCTACTTTATATGGGACCCCGCTGCAGCATGGCTTGACAAGCAGTGCGTTGGTGCACATCCGGGATCTGAACCGTTGAATCCCCGGCCGCCGCAATGGAGCGCACCCACTTAACTGCTTGCACCACCAGGCCAGCCCCTGGTTTTTTTTATTTTTATTTTTTGTGAGGAAGTTTGTCCCTGAGCTAAAATCTGTTGCCAGTCTTCCTCTTTTTGCTTGAGGAAGATTGTCCCTGAGCTAGCATCAGTGCCCATCTTCCTCTATTTTGTATGTGGGATGTGTCCACAGCATGGCTTGATAAGCAGTGTGTTAGGTCTGCACCCGCGATCCAAACCTGCAAACCGTAGGCCACCGAAGCAGAGCGTGAGAACTTAACCACTACGCCACTAGGCCAGCCCCTAAATGTCGTTTTCTTTTAACCATGTATTTGTTTGACTTGAGATCCATATAAAGTTCATAATTTACAATTATTTGATAGTTTTTAAATCTCTTTTAATCTATAGGCTATAGATTCTTCTTTCATCTCTCTTTGCCTTCCTCCCACTCCTTTCCAATTTATTTGTTGAAAAAACCAGGTTGAGTTTGTCCAGATTTTTCCATAGTCTGTATTTTGCTGATTGCACAGGGAGTAGTTTCTCTAAAATTGGTAGTTGGATCAAGAGACTGGGTGAGATTCAGGTTCAGGTTGGCAGGGAGGGGAAATACGACTGCTACTTAAGTAAAATTATCTTCTTCTATTAGGAGATACATAATATCTGGATGTCCTTTATGGTTTTATGTTATACATTTAAATCTTTGCTATATTTGGTATATATCCAGATATATAATGTGAGACATGAAGCAAACTTTGCTTTTGGTTTTCCAGATGGATACCTAGTTGTCCCAACACCATTTATTGAATAGTCTTTCTTTTTCTCGTTAGAGATGCCTCCTTTATTATATACTGAATTCTCGTATGTACTGACTGTGTTTCTGGACTTGGAATTCAGGTGATTGGTCTTTTATATCTTTATGCACCAGCACCACACTACTTTAATTATTGAGGCTTCATAAGTTTTAATAGCAAGTCGGGCTAGGCACCCTTTGTTATCCCCCAGCCCAAAGTTTCCTGGTTATTTTTGCTCACTTTTCCATATGAATTTTAGAATTAATTTGTTTTATTCAAGAAAAAACAAACAGTAGTGTTTTTGGTGGATCATACTTCAAGAGAATTAAGATCTTTTTGATGTTGAATCTTTCTACCCAAAAGCATGTATGTCTTTCTGGTTGTTCAGGTCTTCTCTTGTATCTTTTAGTAGTGTTCTGTTTATTTATTTCTTTAAAAAATATCAAAAAAACATATATGCTGTTTTGCAAAAGTTTAAAGAACCTAGCAAATTACAGAGATTAGATCACTTACTACTAACCATTTTGGGGATCATAGAGCCCTTTAATAAAGAGATAAAAGCTATGTAGTCTCTCCTTAAAAAACTACATATATACATGAAATGTTTGGTACAGTTTCAGAGAAATTCCTAAGACCCTCCATGTATTCTAGGTAAGGAACTCCTGTCTTAGATGAGTGAGAAATCAACAAATTACTTTTTGCCTTTTAATTGAATATTTGTTAACTGCTTTCAAAAAAACATTGTGAGTTGTAGTACTCTTTAGATAAAATACTTAAAAAAAAACATTATTATATTTTCTTACACAAAAAAACCCACGTTTCATTGATAAACCTTTAACAAGGATAGGCATTAGTGAACAGTTCAAAGAAGAAGAAAAAGTGGATAAAATAATTTCACAAGTTCTTTTGAATTAGGGTGGCTATGATGTGGCTAGAAATTTAACAGATATTAGAAGGTAGTTGCTGACAGTTTTGCAGAGACAAGTCAACTAATAACAATTATTTAATTAAAAAAAATTTTAATGAAGGAGGGTATTACATGGCTGGAAGTTAACATTTTTGAACCACATGTATGTGGTCTAATGTAGATATAGATGATTTACATACAGATGATGAATATAAATGATGAGATTTAAGCTCTTTGTCTCATAATAGCCTGTGTAAAGTATGGCTGTCTTAAGTTTGCACATTTAAATTTAAGAAACTACTCATTATGTCTAATTTAAACTTTGATCTCATTATTCTGCCTTTTTAAACAAGAGTATCTTTGGAAATTCCTTTAGAATTACATTTGTCATGGGTACAGGGAATTTTTAGCATTCTGTTTCTTGTTCACGAAAGCACAAAGGACTAGTCTTAATCAATTTTATGATGCAAAATATGAATGCTCTCTGGGTAATTGCTGACATGGGAACATCTCATTTCCCACTAGCTGGTATTTATATGCTGAAGACATATTGTTACTTCAATAGAATCTGAAATAAGTTAATGTAATTTTGTTAAAAGATGTCTCAAATCAGGAGCACGCACATTTATTTAATAAAATGAACACCATCGTGTTTATACATTGCAGAGCAGAATTAGAGTTTTTGATGCAAATAGACTACCAGTCTTTATATTTTATGAGTTTTTCTTCTCTGAAGAAAAGAATGAAGATTTTGAAATGATACTCTTTTCCAGTCTTTCACAATTCTTTATTGATAGCTCCTTAACACAACTCACTCATA